AGCTCCGTGGGCCCCGGGGCCTCGAGGGGCACCTGTTCCCACTCCAGCCCCAGGCTGCTCTGCCGCACCACGCAGAGGCACTTGCCGCACGCAGCGCCAGCTGTGGGTGCCATACGGGGAAGCCAGACCGCGTGCGGCGTGCAGGCCATTTCCGAAGCCGGCCAGAGCGAGGAGGGGTTCGTAGCCAGCCCAGCGCCTCTCTCCCCTGCCTATGAAAACTGCAATCACTGAACTGTCTCGGGGCTATAAACAGAATCATGTAGTGAGATTATTCTGAGTTAAAACCACATATGTACTTTTGTTTTTATATGGACACGGGGATGTGTGTGGAAATGTAGGTTGAACATCGGATACAGACGGGCTGGACTTTCCAGTAAAATGTGCTGAGGAGGCCGTAAGGTGTGCGGCGTTCTGCTCCATGGGGCTCTCGCAGTTGAAGCAGACCTTTCCTCCTGTAAATACGTGGAGACAGTTCTGTTTCTGCCCCCACCTGATGCGGGTGTGGCGTTCACTTAGAGGCTGCCGCAGGGTGGCAGGGAAGGTCACTGTCTTGACCGAGGCCCCCCCGCCAGAGAGCGTGGCCAGCCCCCTGTGCGGGGATGGTGCTGACCGCAGCCAGGCGCCAGGCTGTGTTCCTTTGGAGTAACCGCTTTCCTTCTTTCCTTTCTACCTCTTCTAGGCAGGACAGGGCTGCTTGCTGATCTCTTGCCCAGTTTTGCTGTGGAGATTATGCCAGGTACTCAGTCATTTAACTCTTTATTTGCTTAATTTGCTGTCACTCCATCTGTCTGGCTTCTGCATGTGTCACTAATTGCTCCTTTAATTTATTAGAATATTTGTCTGTACATGTCTGTGGTCTTTTCTGGGATGAACTAATAAGCCCACTGGGAGAGCCTTTAAGTTGTATTTCTTCTATTATTAGATGCTAAAAGAAAAATGATTAGTAAAAATGGGCTGAGATGGAGACCCAGTCCTTCCGTGCCAGGCTTGTGGGCTCTTTGGCTATCTCCATGCCCATCTTGTCCGTGTCCTAGCCGCACCCAAATAGCTATAAGTGTCCTTGACAGATCATGACTTTTCTGCGTTCCTTTTGCCCTGTTATATGTTTACCCATTCATGAGTGTGCAGCCATGTCACCCTGGCCTTTTATAACTGTATCAAAACTCTTTTCAAACGTAATGAATGGTAGCACCCCTTCTCCCTTGAAGAGCACACTTCTGTGCACCTGCTCTGCTATGTATTCAACTCCAGGGCCTTCTGAGGCCCCTAAGTCCTGGGTTCTGGACCGTAAGTCAAGGACAGCGGTCCTAAATGCACACCTGTCCTCTTATGTAGCTTAAGTTGACTGCAGCAGCCCAGACGAGGCAGCATCAGTTTGGTGCGGCCCTGTGGCCCATAAAGGAGGAAGGCTTGGGCGGAGACAGGAACGGGCCACGGGAGGGAGTGTCCAGACTCGGACATAGGAAAGGCTTCCGTCTTGCTTTGGAGGGTTTCTGCCCAAGGCTGAAGAGCTGCCTAATAGTTCAGAGCAACAGAGAGATACTAAATATTTCTGGCCACTGGTTTTGACTTGGGTCAAGGTTTAAGAAACATCCAGAGTCTCCCCAGTTGAACTTCACTCACTGTTCACCCGTGAATTCCTCTGGCCCTTTCCCATCAGCTGACCAAACCCAAAAGTAAACATTCTTCTCACTGATGATGATGCCAAGGACAGAGCTGTGCTTTGTGATCCCCCTTATCCAGAATTGCGTCAGCTTGTACACAAAAGAAACAATGTTCCATTGCATCCCTTCCCCAAATTAGATGTTATGTGCCCCGCTTCCAAGAAAGAGTTACTGTATTTTTCATATCTCGCCCTGGATGCCTGACTTTCCCTCCCTTTGACTGCAAAGAATCCTTTCACGGATAACATTGTTCTGCAAGGTCACCCGGCAGCCTTTTCTCCTGGACCGCCTGACCCACACTGTAGCCACCGTCACGCCACGCACCTCACCGAGTCCCCAGGGTCATGGCTGTCTCGGCACGTGATGTGATGTTATTCCTAGAGCCCAGGCCAAAGCCCTCGGCTGTCTCCCGTCCTCAGCAGGGATGCCCTCCAGACCACACTGGCCACAGCGCTTCTCATCTCTTCTCCGAAATGGTTCATTTGAACGTATTTCCGGTGGATGAGCGAGGAGGGAAGCAAGTTGTCTCTCTGAGGAAGTTATGTTCTAAGCAAAGGTCAAATACCTTTACCATCATCACAAAGGCTTTTACATGATGAACATGCCATATTTTCAAGCTCTACCTGAATGTCCATTTAACCGAAGGAATATTTAATAACCAAAATTTAAGGGGAAAAACATACTTAAAGTTCACTGTAAAGGGGTTTTTGGTAGATGACCTTCAATCAAAATGAATTACTTTAATCTTTTAGCTTTTAAGGGAAATCACAGCTTCCCCCCTGTCTCCCAGGCCTCCAGTGGGAAGCTGGGCCCTATAGCAAGTCTCAGAAGTGAGAGGGGGGGACAGTGTCTGCTGTATCCCAGGCTCTGTCTCCTCTCTAGTCATGGTTTGTTGGACAGGTAGAAGCCCTGTGCTGGGTTCAGGAAAGGTGTTCCGGGGCGATGGGCAGGGAAATGGATTAATACCTGCGGACCCGGACCATATAACATGTTCTGATTCAGACCAGGCGGACATGGAGAAGTTTTTCTCAGGACTTACACTTTTAGCAGCAAGACTAACTTGACTCCCCAAGATACGTAATCACAGAACCCACCCCTTGATAGCTCAGCAAACCAAATCCCCTGCCCCAGGCGTGAGTCTTTCTGCTCTTGCCCCACGCTTGTCCTGACACCACAACCAACATGGGAAGCCTGTTCCCCAGGGCGGCGCTGAAACTCCGCCCCGCGGCTTGTGCTGGTCCTTCTGGCCCTCGGTGGGACCCTGGTGACCGCCCTGTCCTCAGCGCCCCAGCCCCGGGGGAGTCTGCTCTTCTCACTGTCCCAGCTCCTGCCGAGTTTGGGGGCCTGGGCTCAGTTGCAAGGCGCCGGGTCCCTCCTGCTCCCGCCCTCCGCCGGGGGACACGGAGGAGGGCCCTGACGCAGGCTTCTCTGCGCGTCTTCCAGAGTGGGTGTTTGTCGGCCTGGTGATCCTGGGAGCCTTCCTGTTCTTCGTCCTGGTGGGCATCTGCTGGTGCCAGTGCTGCCCACACAGCTGCTGCTGCTACGTCCGCTGCCCCTGCTGCCCGGACTCCTGCTGCTGCCCTCAGGCCTGTGAGTAAAGGGCCCAGTGGGCAGCTGGAGAGTTGCCTGTGACCCCGCGGACGGCCTGTGCCCCAGCGTCCTTCTCTGCCTCCTTTCCTTGCGCCCAGATGTTGCTCATGGCAGACCCCCCGAGCCCTGCTTCCAGAGCTCACCCTCCTTGTTTGCCATCTCACCTCCATCCGCCCTCCATGCTGCTTGTCCACACCTGTCCCGGCATTTGGAGTCCTCGTCGGCGCTCTGATGGCAGGAAGGGCCAGTTCAGGACGGTGAGGGCGTGGGCCAGGCTCCTGTCCTCTCCCGGGCATTCAGACCCGGGCAGGCCTCTGGCCGCGCCTCTCACAGCCGGAGGGCTCCTCTTGGTAGCGGAGTGTGCGGACCACAGCCTGGGCAGCACCCAGCCACTGTGGGCTTACTGACTCCCGCCACAAAAGGCTCTAGAGGAACTAGTTCTCCCGTGAGGACTGACAAGTTCGCCTTCCTGGCCAAGCCCAGGTAGGCATTAAGTTTGGAGCCCCTCCATAAACCACATCTCGAAGGAGAGAGACACAGCGAGTATGTTTAGGACCCTCAGGAATAAAGCACTTTCCCGGAGAGGCAGGTTACCTGCCCTGCTTTTGGGCTCACGCGCAGGGCCATGTGCAAGCCCATTGCTTGCTTTGCCTCTAGAAGCATCCCAGGCGCCCCTGGAAGCAGCCCTGGGCAGCCCTGTGGCTGGGCCGCCTACAGACAGTGTTGTTAAGGGTGGGCTGCTGCTGTCACTGGATAGGCTGCTGTGACGGCTCCAGTGCCACTTAATTACTCAGCTGCCAGGTACTAAACACTGTAATTCTTGATGTCGTCCTCTGACGGAGCTGGAGGAGTCTAAGGGAGTGGGGAGAGTGGTTCCGGTGAAGTAATTTAGGCGTAGGAGAACACAGGTGCGCAAGCCGTGTGTACACACACACATAACCACACACACATGGGCACACATGCACACGCACAGCATGCATGCACATGATAAGCACATGCACAGGCACACATGGGCACACACACACATAACCACACACACATGCACACATGGGCACACATGCACACACACAGCATGCATGCACACGATAAGCGCATGCACAGGCACACATGGGCGCACATGCATAGGTGCACACAGGCACACATGAGCACACACACATAGGTGCGCACACACAGGAACGCATGGGCACACAGCATGCATGCACACGATAAGCACATGCACAGGCACACATGGGCACACACTCAGGTGCACACACAGGCACACATGGGTGCACACACATAGGTGCACACATGGGCACACATGCACAGGCACACACAGCATGCATACATGTGATAAGCACACGTACGGGCGCACATGGGCACACACAGAGGCACACGCGCATACACAGGCACACACCCAGGAGCTCCCTGAAGTGCATCCTCCGGGACATGTGGCGCGAGGGCTGTGGAGGGTGGGGCCATATAATCTCTCACTCTTCCTCTCCCTCCACAGTGTATGAAGCAGGGAAAGCAGCCAAGGCCGGGTACCCTCCCTCTGTGTCCTGTGTCCCTGGCCCCTACTCCATCCCCTCTGTCCCCCTGAGAGGCGCCCCCTCATCGGGCATGCTGATGGACAAGCCGCACCCAC